GGATGAGATAGAATCTCAGTGTAATTTTGATTTGTGTTTCCTAATGGTTAAAGATGTTGAGCATTTTTTCATATACTTACTTGGCCATTTGGATGTCTTCTTTTGAGAAATGCCCAATTCTTTGACTTATCTATTGATTGATTTTTGATTTTTATTTGATTTGTAAGGTGTTTTTTAGTTCTTTGTGTATTCTAGATATTAGTCCTCTGCCAGAAGGGTAGCTGGTAAAGATTTTCTCCTAAAGCTGTTTCTTGACTTCATTTGTTTCTCTTTCTGTGCAAAACTTAAATTTGATATAGTACCATTTGTTGATTCTTGCTATTATTTCCCGTAATATTGGAGTCCCACTCAGGAGGTTTTTGCCTATACCTATGGCTTTTATTTGTCTTATTACAGTGATTCTAATAAGTATGATGTGGTATCTTATTATAGTTTTTACCTACATTTCTTTGTGGCTAATATTGAACAATTTTCATGTGCTTAAGGTTGTTTGTGTATCTGGAGAACTGCCTGTATTCATATCCTTGCTTGTGTTTTGCTGGATAATATGCCACACAGAGTTGTAATATTTCCTTATATAATCTAAGTCACTTAGTAGATAGATAATTTGTAAAAGTTTTCTCCATTTTGAGGGTTGTCTTTTCACTTTCTTAATGGTTGAATAGGAGTTTTAAATCTCAAGAATATCTAATTTGTCTGTTTTTATCGTTTGTTGGCTGTACTTTGGGTGTCATATCAGAAAACCATTGATTACCTGGTAATTTTTTGCCTATGTTTTTTTTCTCAGATTTTCATGGTTTTAGTTCTTACCTTTAGGTCTTTAATTAATTTTAAACTATTTTTGTGTATTATGATTTAGAAGCCCAACTTTATTCTTTTTCATGTACCCATGTATTCCAGCACCATTGATTGATAAATAATTAACTTGTACACTCTTATCAGATACATGTTAACTATGTGGTTTGCAGCTTTTGTAAATTCTCAATGATTAAGTCCCCAAGATCAACTTGGATTCTCCGTCTAGAGTTCTGCCCTTTGCTGTTGTTGTTGTTGTAACATCTTCCTTGGAAGATGCTTATATTGTTCCCATGTGATAATGTTGTATTAATTTAAAAATCATTACTGTTTTCCAATGAAGAATCTCAGATGATTTTAACTTTTTTTCCCACAGGCTTTGTTTTCCTCAAATTTAATCATTGCATAGCTGTCCTTTGAGCCCTTTCCCAATTCTTTGTAAACCTGAATGCCAAGTAGTCCAGCATTTGAAATCATGTGCTAATAAAGATCTAGTTTAGTGTCTTGGCTTTACTGATACTGATGTCAGAGAGTAAGGGGAAGCATACATAAAGCTGCTCGGATAAGTCCAGGAATGGACCCCACAAGATAGATCAGTCAGACCTTCAAGGTCAAAATGGAGGGTAAGGGGCTAACGTTAAGCTAACAGAATTTGGCCCATTTCAAGTTTTATTTATATTTTTTCCTCCTTGAGTTTATTGGTACATTTTAGGTATATAGTACAGTTGCATTCATTATTGGGATCTTGTACCTTTACATGACAGGTCTTGGTTCTCATTCTTTCCCCTTGTCCCTGCCTTCCCTTCACCCCCTCCTCCCCTCCCCATTTACAAACACTTTGTTTCCATTTTTTCATTTTCCCCTATTCTTTTCTTTTCCCTTATTACCTTTCCCCTACCCTTCCCACTTTCCCTACACCTTTAGCCCTTTTCTTCCTATTTCACATTGTCAATTATCTCATTAAGATCTTATGTACTATTATAGTTTTTCACACCAGAGAAACTATTCGGTATTCACACATGTGTGACTTACTTATTTCACTTAGGAGTATATCTTCACCCTTATCTTTCACCATGCACTAAATTAAAATCCAAGTGGATTAAAGATCTAAATATTAAAACAGAAACACTAAATTTGCTGGAAGATAGGTAGAACTCTTGAAGACATTGGCATAGGAAAAGACTTTATGAACAAATCCTCAGTAGCATGGGAACTAGCAGAGATAATCAACAACTAGGATCTCATCTTATTAAAAAGCTTCTGCACTGCACAAGAAACCATCAACAGAGCTAAGAGACAACCATTTCAAATTTTAAAGAAAGAAGTGGGTCCTAAACAACAGGAATAGGAATCAAGCCCAGGCTGAACATGAAACAGAATCCTGCATAAATCTAGAACATGGCTTGGTATATATGAACAAACTGTCTCCCATCCTGCTAAAGTAAATTCAGTCTTCCAGTGTTGAGAGTCTTCACATGTATAAATAATGATACATGGATAAATCTGTCCCAGATTTCCTTTCCCCAATAACCTCTGTAATCATACCAACCTCAGTATGTTAAACTCCTGAAGGTTATGTTTCTAAGGGATGTGCCTAATGAAAACAGTGAGATGAAGCTTGCAAAGCATGTTATATAGACCAGGTTATTTTGAGAGGGGTTATACTCTTTGGGGAATCTGACAGCAACTATGACTTTCTCTGTAAGGAAGGCACCAAATGCACATGTAAAACATTTTAGCACAAGTAACCTGGGGCCTAAAGCTAGTTCATAGTTAATACCCCTTATTAAAGTTTTTGATAGTCTCCACTTCTTAACCCATTTGTTTTCTGTCCTTTGTTAATGTTTTATATAATTGTCTCTGCTACTAGGAGATTTGGGGATATAGTAATATTTGAGTACATGTAAGCCAAAGGATCATTGAGAACACTAACACTGAGGCCAAAGTAGTAGTGACAGAAATCATTTGGGAGAGATCCCTGGGAACCTGATGAATCTGTGAAATAAGAATTGTGCCATGGAAGTACAGCATCTCTGTCCCACTGTATGATTCTTCATTAATTCCTGTTCTAGGATCTATGTTTTATTCTACTAGCTAAGAAGAGTTCCTCCGTGAATCATGTAATGGCATGCTGACACTGAGCCTGCTAGTTAGTTTTCTATGGTTCCTATTAGAATAACATTCACTTCCCAAGCATGGCTGACCTGGACCTTTAGGCAATAGTGAGATTTCTGAGTCTCATAGGATAGGGTACAAGGGGAAAGAAAATGGCTTTGGTGATACAGTCTGAACTTCATTCAGCTATTTGTGATTGTGACTATATTGTTAATTTTACTCATCTGTCTTTAGAAGTAGGCCCTCTGGCTATATCTAGTGCTGTTAGATACGTAAGATTGAATTTAGAGAGTAATTATCTGGGTGATTCAAGTTGAATAAAGCCTCATTTACCATACAGTTTAAGTCATTGGAAACAAAATATCTGAAGTACTAGTTTATCTTACATTTATATATCACCTAAAAAAGAAGAAAAAGATTTTTTTTCAGCTTTAATTGAGTTTATTGGTACATTTTAGGGATACAGTACAGTTACATTCATTGTTGGGATCTTATACCTCTACAGGACAGGTCTTGATTCTCATTTTTTCCCCTTGTCCCTGCCCTCCCTTCACCCCCTCCTCCCCTCCCCATCTACAAACACTTTATTTCCATCTTTTCATTATCTCACATTTTTTTCTTTTCCCTTATTACCCTTCCCCTACCAAAACATCTTTTTTAATAAACAGTTTCAAAATGGGTATTTATTTTCTCATTGAGTTTATTGGTACTTTTTAGTTATACAGTACAGTTAAATTCATCATTGGGATCTTGTACACCTACATGACAGGTCTTGGTTCTCATTTTTCCCCCATACCTCCACCCTCCCTTTACCCCCTCCTCCCCTCCCTATTTACAAAAACTTTATTTCCATTTTTTTCTCATATTTTTTCTTTTCCCTTATTTCCTTTCCCCTACCCTTTCCACTTACCCTACACCTTTAGCCCTTTTCTTCTATTTCACATTATCAGTTATACCATTTGGCTATTATTTACACTTTTAGTTTTTCACACCAGAAAAGCTATTCAGTATTTACACATGTGTGACTTATTTATTTCACTTAGGCGTATATCCTCAGTATGTATCCATTTTCCTATGAATGACTCTAGTTTCTCATTCTTTATGGCTGAGTAGTACTCCATTTTATTTAAAAAAAAACCACACATATTCTTTGTCGAGTCTTCAACTGATGGGCTGTTTCCAGGTTTTAGCTATTACAAACTGTGCCATTATAAACATAGGTGAGCATATATCACTGTGGTATAATTCTTTTAATTCTTTTGGAAAGATATCCAGCAGAGGGGTAGCTGTGTCAAATGGAACCTCTAATCCTAGTACTTTGAAGTATCTCCATATTGATTTCCATAGTAGTTGCACCAGTCTGCACTCCCACCAACAATGGATAAGGGTTCCTTTCTCCTCCCTAACCCCACCAGCATTTGCTATTGGTTGATTTCTTGATAGCAGCCATTCTTTGTGGGGTGAGGTGGAATCTCAGTGTTGTTTTCATCTGCATCTCTCGAATGACCAGTGATGTGGAACATTTTTTCATATATTTGCTGTTTTTACTTCTTTGTCTAAGAAATGTCTGTTCTTTCAGGTGCCCATCAAAATGGTATTTAAATTTAAAACACATTTAAAAGTTGCATGTTTATGTAAGAAAATCGTCGCTATTGATTTTGCTTTAACTGGCTCCCCTGTACTTGACCTAAATTTTTCTTTCTTTGAAACTCAGTTTGGGACTATCCTGCCTATGAAATAAAGATAGCAGTACTGTACCTACCCTAATGATATTTGTGGATATGAAAGAGATAATTCATGTCCAGCTTGCACTCTAGAACCTGACACATTGCAAACAATAGTAATAGTTATGATAGTGCTTTTCCTAGATTCTGTAGTCAACCTTTAATCTCTTTATTCTGTGATCATAAAAACCACTAGCTATACCTCTTTTTAATATTTATTATCCTGTTTTATATATTGTACTGTCATAGCAATAATAAATTTATAATCTCCTTGATAGGCAATAGAAAACTTACTGGATTGAAAAATCAACATTTGCTTCTCTTACAAGCCATCTGGTCTTCATTTTGATTTTTTTTTCTCAATAGAAAATGAAAACACTAGCAGAAAGGAGAAGGAGTGCTCCATCTCTTATCCTGGATAAAGCCCTCCAAAAACAGCCTAGTACCAGGTAAGTGCAAAGCTTGGTATATACATTTAGTATGTGTCAGAATTTTATACTACATGGAGAGTTTTACAGATCATGTATTTTTATGCATGGGGATTGTTTATCAGCTGGAATTCTCTGTTTAATAGTAGAAAATACGACTTATCTTCAAAACTGATTAAAAATTGAATATCAGGACACAAACATGCAGGTTTCACATATTGTCAAAAATTTGTAGAAATAGCTAAGTCACAATACTGAAGATGTTCAGTTATGCACAAAAATTTGCTGTTTTTATTACAAAGAGATTTCTTTGTGTGAATGAGGTAAATTTTTGTACGAACATTAGATATAAAGGTAACCATATCAAGATTGTTTTAAAAATGAAATGTTAAGTTCTTTTAGGTTATTGGCTAACTACTGAAAACTGAAGTGAAAAACAGGCTAAATAATGTATAGAAATTAAATGGGTATGTATTAACATAAAACCTGTTGGACATATGAAAGTTTTTCAATGTCAAAAACAAATTATGTATCCTAATTCCAATAAGTGAAATTGATTAAAATATTTAGGTCATTGTCTTTTCAATTCTCAGATTCAGTATTCTTTCCAAAAGAGTTCTTAGTGACTAAAGTACTCATTGGTTTGATGAGGAGATGTAAAGTACTTTTCTTTTCCCCATTAAGTTTACTGGTACATTTAAAGCAAACAGTACAGTTACATTTATCATTAGGATCTTGCACCTTTACATGCTATGTCTTGGTTGTTCTTTTTCCCCACACCCCTACCCTCCCTTCATCCCCTTCACCCTTCCCTATTTACAAAGACTTTGTTTCCATTTTTTCCTCTTTTCACATTTTTTCTTTTAATAGATGCCTAATCAAGATCTAATTAGGGAGATATTCTGCCAAATAAAAGTGTAACAATACATTTAAGTGCCATATATATGAATGAGTTTTGGATTATTAACTTCAGTGTATCTTTGAAATAGTGTGTATAAAAGAATGGTTATCTTGTCAGTTTGACCTTGATTACCTAAAAAATGCAGAAGAAAGTATTTTTTAGGGAAGGTGGATAAAGAGAGGAGGCACAATTATCAGTACAACTGTCTTTAATTCTCTACTATATGTGTAAAGATAACTGTTGACTACTTTTTAAAACAGATGTAATGTTAGGTGAAGTTTCTTATTAGGGGCTTCTAGTTTGCAGGTGTACTAAGGTTTTCAGTTAAAGGTATTCCTTATATCAAAGAAACTTTAAACTTTAGCCTCACGCAGGGATCAGGATACCCTATTCTCCCTTAAGGAAATAACCTATAATAGTATGCATATAGGTGAGTGGTGGTGAACCTATGGCATGTGTGCCGCAATGGGCTTTTTGTATCATTGAAATCTAAAAGGTTCTCCATCAGTGCTGTAGACACTATAACTTACCAAGATACTTAGGTCATTATAGAACAGTAGTTACCAACGAGGCAGTAAAATTCTGTAGAGGGCACTTTGGGGTTGTGTTGAACATTGAGTGTTTATCAGTGATTTAGGGGACAGTGGCCAGAAGTGCTAAGCAACAATGTATAAAGCTCAGAGCATCTTGTACAGCAAAGAACTTTGTAGTGACTACATAGTTTTTGAATATGTCGTATGTGACATATTTGCAAAGGGGAAAAAACCCTACATAATTATCTATGCTTAAAATCCAGCTGTTTTATATATAAATAAAAGCTATTTTATACACGTTAATAAACATTAAATTTTTTTAAATTGGAGATCAAATCCTGTTACAATAAACATTCAAAAGGTCTGCATTTTGTCTACCTTTGTGTAATACATGTTCCTGAACATTTACATAAATCAGGTTTTTATTATTAATGAACATGCTATTTTAAATAATCTTTTAGTGAATTGTTTCAAGTGACATACTTCTATTTTCAAAGTTGACAAAAAGAATACAAATTTTATAGTTAGATTTTGTTTTCCAATTATATACCAGAAATGTAAAAAAAAAAAAGCTCTGAAGTCCAAAATGTTAGCACATCCATTTGAAGGAGAACTTTGCAAAGCAAAATCCTGGTAACTGTTACAGAAATCCTTACCATCCCTTGACGTGAAACATGGAATCTAGCCTGCAAAAGATTTGTATGCTGTTTGGATGTAGACAGCAAAGACAGAGTATTTTATATAGTGACATTTCATATTTCTTGAATTACACTCATACAGAAATTCTAGATCTGATATGGTACTCAGTCACCTCATAGCTTTGTTTTGGCTTTTTAGTATACTCTTTCTACTGTTGAGCATAGTTAACTTGTTACTTAGTGGTTAATGACTTCTAAATGATAAAGCTTTCATTCAGAGTTTAGCTAACATTGGCACAGGATTTGAAAGCATCCTCTTATATAATGCTCTTGCATCTCAGTTTTATTAAAATTTAGTGAACAAGAAGAAGAAAGGCTTAGATGAACTGACGAGTTAACTGCATTTATGTATTAAACAATTTTGTCTTCAGTGTTTTTGTCAGACCCATAAAGTACAAAGGACAGGCAGTTACAGATTTTAACATTATATAGACGTCATTAAAATCAGCTGGAGGTGATCTCTAAGTATTCATCGTATTATCTGTTATAGCAGATAATAGACATCTTTCACACCACAAGGATTAGAAGTTTTCTAAAATGAATGATTAAAACTTGATTATACTCAACTGCTTTTATTCAGCACAGTAGTGTTGAGTTCTATGTTTAAGACTTCACTTTGTGTCACAGTCATTCTCTTAAGGAGGACATATATATTGAAGGACTGTTTTTTTATTTTTTTTTTATTTTTGGTTTTTTTGAGACAGGGTCTCAAAAAAGTGTTTGAGACTGACCTGGAAATCACTATGTAGCCCAGGCTGGTCTCGAACTCACAGAGATCCTCCTGCCTCAGCCTCCCGAGTGCTGGGATTACAGGCGTGCGCCACCACGCCCAGCTTGGACTCAGTTTTTTTAAAAAGTACAATGAGAGCATTGAACTACTATAGGTATATAATTATGGTTGTTGAAATTCAGTAAATCAAGAGATTCTTAAATGCACCACTCTCTAGTCTTCCTTCAAATATTACTTCCTTCAGGAACTCTTCGAACTTTTCATGAATACCATTCATGCTTTCTAGCACCCTATATATCTTTTAATCATAGCGTTTACATGCCACTCCTTTTTAGTGTCCTAGCACCATTTTATTCATAAAATAATCCTAATACTTACTTGGTACTGAATTGGTATTTATTGGATGAATTTGTGAATGAATGGCTCTATTTCCTAACCAAAATAGAAATTTAGTAAGTTAACACAATAATTTCTGACTTTCTTGCCCCCCTTTAAGTAGCCAGGGTATGAGACTTCCTTCCTACTGGTTTGTTTGTAAAATTCTTGCTCAGAAAAACTGGAGATTCATTTTAAAATGATTCTGAGTTATTGTTAGGAAGTAATTTTATGTGGCACAGTGGCATAGAACTCATATATTTTAGAAATATCACATATATTGGCATTTTTATGGTATTACCTTATTGTTTATTTAGAAATGAATTCAGGTCATACAGATGTTCCCTCCAGAAATTCATAGTTCTGATATGATATTCAGCCACTTTGTGGAACTTGCACAGAAATATATCTACTTTTGTTTTAGATAACAATGTTTTACCATTTTAAATTTGCTATTCATTTGTCTGCATATTCACCTATAAAATAATGTATTATATTTTTGCTTTTTGCAAGACTTTGTGGTGTGTACTTTTAAATCTCTGCTTACTGCTACTGAGAAGAGAGGAGAGGTGGCACCAGGGAAACATTATGGTATAACAGTAAATTCTTGGGTTTTGCTTGCATTCAAATGTTTGCTTTCCATCCTGATCATTTGTGTGACCTTAGATAAGTATCTCAATTTCTGAGTCTCAGTGCTTTCCTCTTTAATTTAAGAATCATAAGGCTTCTGTTGTAGAATATAAAATTAGAAGGTGTTTAGAAAATTAACATTTTTTACTCACTACTTTCCTCCTTTCCCTTAGATATACTTCATTTTCAAGCTTCAAAGCACCACACTCATCTAGTAATGTCAGGTCTATAAAGAAAAAGCACCTACTTTGTCATCCCACCACTGTGTAACTAGAACTGGATCGTTCAGCCTGTCTCATTTTATAGCAGAAATTGAGTCAGAGATTTCCCTTAGGTCACACAATTGATTATTGTCAAAGATGGAAATAGAATCATATTTCTGGTCTTGATGGAATAATCTTTGCATTATACAAACAAAAGGAGTTTATTATAGTGTCTAAAAACCATGAACTCTGAATCCAGTGTGCTACATCTGAATCCTGGTGCAATCTTTACCAACTACGTGATCTTGGCTAAGGGTTTTTAGCCAAGGGTAATAATGGCACCAACTCATAAGATTTCAGGGAGGACTGAATTAGTTTTATATATGTAGAATTCTTATAGTCTCCAGCACATAATCAGTGCTACATACACACATATTATATGCATGTGTATGTATATATATATATAATCCATGTAATTATATATGTATATGTAGGTTACTATTACTAGTGACAGCAATTATAAAAGCAGAAAAAGAAGTACATGGTACCCTTGTAGAGAGACTCTTTGAAGACCATTTTGTCTCAGTTTGGCTTCCTCCTCCCTACAGCGTGGAGTGAAATCTCTCTGTAGGCAGCATTCCTTATTTCCCTTCTTTTAAGGATCACTGTTCCATGTTCCAGTTAGTTGTCCATTGTTTGAAAATGTTTCATATAGTTTTTCCTATTTTTTCTTAGTTTGTTATTTTAGCATAGTTGGGAACAAATTTCTATTGCAGTTACTTTTGCTAACTTTACTATTTCTTTATATGTACAGAATTTGAATTTTAATTATTTTTAATTCATTGTTTTTATTGGTAAATTTTAGGTATACAGCATGCTGACAGTCATTATTGGGAATTTGTGCTTCTACATAGTATATCTTGGTTCTTATTTTTTTCCCCATCCCTGCCC